GGTATGGATGAGTGAATGTTGTCTATTGATGAATATTCCTATGTATGATATTGAATTAGTACTCGTGTGAATCTGTAATGCTAGTGTTCTAGAGTTATATGTTGTATAATATATTATAGAATTTATAAGTGTCATGAGGTTGTTTTTAGTTTGAATTAGGGTTTTCGGATGGTGAAATTCTAGAAAAGTGACTTTAGTGTGATAATTAATGTTTGAGATCTGTTTTAGGGTCATTTAAAACTTGTATAGAACGTTAGTTAACCAAAAAGGAATCATGTTGAATTCGGGAGTAGTAATTTGGTAAGAGTTGTAGGCTAATTTAGTGCAAAATAGGGGTTTTTATATGCGAGATTTTGAGATAAGGGTTGTATTGTGATATTTTATGTTTAATGTCTGCTTTTTTGTCATTTAAAACTTGTATAGAACGTTAGTTAACCAAAAAGGAATCATGTTGAATTCGGGAGTAGTAATTTGGTAAGAGTTGTAGGCTAATTTAGTGCAAAATAGGGGTTTTTATATGCGAGATTTTGAGATAAGGGTTGAATGGAGATACTTGAGGTTTAAAGTCTGCTTTTATGCCATTTAAGACTTGTTTAGAGGTTGAGTTTACTAAATTGTCATGAGGAATGAGTAAGATTGAATTATGAGTAGTAGAATGGTGTTTTAGTTTGAGTGAGTTAGACATTCATGGAGAAACAAGACTAATAGAGTTTAAATTGAGTCATAAGCACTTGGATGAGTTCAACTAAGGTCTTGAATAGCAAATAGGAGTTGTAGGTGCATGTAGAGGTGTGAGAGTTAAAAAATTTGAGGTTGGGGGTGAAAATTCTGCAGAATTGATGTTCTGCAGAATTCTGCAGACTAGCTAGGCAAGCATGGGGTCGTTGGGCGAGTAAATAATGGCAGTGTGTTTCAAGGGCTGGGAAAGAATTCTCTCTAGGCTAGGAAAGTTCTCTATTTATGTTAGCGTTGGGCGCTAGGCTGAGCTCATTAGGCGAGTAATTATGTGCTGAGCGTCGAAAGTCTGGCGTTGGGTCCCACGTGTACATGCTTCATCTCATGTTTTCTTTTCTCTATTGCTTATGGGTGGAAATGTTTTGATGCTTTAAAGTTTGTTTAGTAATATAAATTTAATTATATGATTGTTTATGCATGAGGTTATGTATGTATGGAAGTATGGTTTGAAAAGAATTTCTAAGGTGAAATTCTTGATGGTTGTTCCAAGTAGAATAATGTAATGTTGTAGGGATGCAACCTTGAAAATTATCCTAACACTCCGATAAACACTCTATCTTAGGTGCAGAAGGGGATTATGTGATGAGAAGTAACAAGTGTATATTGTCCATAAGCCGTTAATGAACTAGTCTTGTGTGGTAGCTTAGGGGAGAGCCAATTGTTCCACAATTACAAGTATACAATTTGTCATAATATGACATCAATACATATATCCAGATTTAGTCAAGTCTAAATTTATCTGTATGTTTAGGATTGACTTGGTTTAGGTTTAGAAATGAAGTGTGTTATAAAATATTTTGTAATTGCATAATTTAATTCTTTTATAATATTAATTTATTCTTTTTGTGTTGTCTGTTTGTGTTTATTATATAATTTAAAATTATTACGATGAATATAAATATAAAGACGAGATTCGTCTAAAACATGCTCTTAGAGATTATGGTGCATGTACTTAAATATTTGGTAAAGTTAATTTTTCTTTTATATTTTACATATACTCATTCCTTAGGAATTATCTATTAAATGTAAAAGGAAGAAAATAAATATTTACTTTCTTACCTATATTATCATACCTAATCTGAATCTCTTATTATGAATTTCAGAAGTTTTGACGTGTGAACTCCTGAACTTATATTAATTAATTTTAGTGAAATATTGAATTTTTTTCTCCCAAAAATTAATTAATTTAAATTAATAAATATTATTTACATAATTCAGTTTAAATAATAAATAAAATTTGCCTGAAGTTGTTTTTAATCAAATTATTCAAGTAAAATATATATAAATATATATATATATATATATATATATATATATATATATATATATATTATCTTCATGAATGTATAAATGAAACTTCCTCCATGATTTTGTTTCCGAGAAAATTAGGTATGAGCTGGTTACCATGACACTACTCTGGCAAAATAGAAACAGCAATAATTTTCATTTTTGCATGACAGAAGCAATTTATGTAAGTTGGTATCATTGGAGTGCAGAGAAGCAAGACGATTAACTTTTCTTCCTACTCTTATCTGTTGTGTAGGGTTACTTCCAATTACGTGCTTGAAACATGCTGCTGCAACAACACAACCGCGTCCACATTAATTCAACAGTTCGAGGCAAAATCATCGGTTATACAGATGAAGAGTTATGACGATGTTTCTTCCTCGATATGCTTAAGAAAGCCGTCACCACTGTCAGAACATTTTGGCGACCTTTCCTAGGATGTTGGTTGTTACCGACCAAACTCACTTAAATGCTTTCAAAATTACGTTCTCATTTAATACATGATTATTTAACTTTTAATTAGTTAAATTTAATCCCAATACTATTCTATTTATACATATGCAAACTAATAAAATATGTTTTGTCCATTATATAAATTTGATCCTGTTTCTGTTTATTTTATATTGATATAGACACCATGTTATCATTCATTCTTATACGTATGTCTTTTGAATAAATTCAACTTTGTAAATAGTATTCAAACCAAAAGCTCACACACAACTAAATGAAAGTCATGTTTCTATCACACAAATCTCTTAAGGTCACTATAACTATTGTTCCTTTTCCATTTCCAATTCTAACTATAATTTTGAAACAAATATAAAAAATACACAGCACAATAATTCAGTTTTAAATAATTACTTTGGTAATTTATGGTTTAATCTCATTTAATTCTTGATTCACAATTATAATATTTATAATTCCCTTTTCAGATTTTAAACTATCCAAAATTTGGTTCAATATTAAAATTTTATACTTTTTTATTTCTATAACATGAATAATGGAATATATAGAGAGATTATAAATTAAAGAAGCATAAGATTGTAATGTATTAAGATAGTTATTTCCTTTGGTAGTAATATTTTTATATATTTCCTTCTAATCCATTAGTTCATACTATGAAGGAATTATAACAACTGCTTGTGAGAAAAAAAAGAGTCATATTATTGTTAGTAAAAAATTTATTTTATTAATTTTTTGGCTATTGTATATATAACCAACCTTTAATGTTTATTTGTTTCAAAAGTTGTAATTACTCATATTTTAATGTCATTCATGATAGTTACTCCATACCCTAATATAACAAAAATATTTAAAACTTGGTGCAAACTTGTACATATTATGCTCTTCAAATAAAAATTACAGGAATAGCTCGTATCTGCTAAGCTTTTGTTATATATACATTAAATTTTTAGCTTTTTGTCTTTCTAATATCTAAAAAAATTATTGTATATTTACTACTTTTTAAAATGTTATCATTTATATTTTGTTACATAATTTATCATTATATTTTATTATTTTCACACATTTTATCAATAAATAGATTATTTGAATAACAAAGTGCTAACATCTCTTTTTAAATTTCATATTTAAAAACCTAAATATATGACAGTAAAACCATATGAAAAAAAAAATTGAAAACTTTTGGTAAGATGTGAAAATAATAAAGACAATTGAGTGACAAAATGTCCTGTTCAAACAACAATGTCACCGTACATTTGTTTCTCTTCTTTTACTCTTTCAAGATTTCTCTTCTTTTACTCTTTCAAGAAATTGGTCGTAGTTCAAGTGTGTAAGATATTCAGATATTTTAGAAGAACATATAGTTGAACAGTAATTCATATGGGTGGGGAAACTGAGAAGATAACATAGAGAAAACATAGTTAATGGGAGTTTAATGAACGTATACGATGACGATGATTTCTTGTTTTTTAGTAAATGGTCAAAACAGACACAGTGGATACAAAAGCCTTATCAACTTGTGTGTACTTTGGAGATATTTTTCTCATAAACTTCTACTCAGTACTGTCCAAACTTGTAAGGAAATATTATCGTGATCGAAATGTATGGTCTGAAAACAACCACCACAATAACAAGACCCAGTTCTATTCATCACTAACACTTCATGAATCATCACATGTTTTCCTTTTCTTTTTCGTTCTTTTCTCTCTTCAAAATATTAGTAAAATAAAATCCAAAAAGTTCTTGCCTGCATGTATGGCTACCATTTTCTCTCTTCAAAATATTAGAGTGACATAATATTGTATGTAATGAAAGAAAAAAAAATTTTGAAGGTACGAGTTCTCCACTATGAAATGGAGACCCTTGATCTTCTTTTGACATGGCCAATAATAGAGAGGGCCTAGCAATTAAAGGTCTTCAATGAATCTGCAAAAGTTTGCAGATTTCAGATACTCTGAATTCTTCTCCCAAAAGGAAAACCAGTGCATTCAATTTAGACTAACTAGGCAAATGGGAGGTTTAATTCAACCCTATCACCATAGTCAAAACTCTCTTTCACATCTATCCTTTGTCCAGTTAAAATCAATTTTTTTTAAAATCAATATTAACCCATTTTCTTGAATTACTTCCTGATTCTATATTTATTAAAATTACTTTTTCTTTCAAGATAAAAATACTTTCTTTTTTAATGTCTTAGTTCAAGTACTTAAACAAGTGTTTGTACGTGTATGTCCAATGTGTCAACTTAATTAAACTTTTCCGTCTGGAATTTGTATTCTATAAAATATAATTTCTCCATCACTTCACAAGTTCCAAATGTCATGCACGAAAGCCACTTCTTCATGTACCATGCATTACATATAAGAGAAAGATGCACATGCATGAAAATTGCTAGAATATGCGTTTTCAGCATCATTGAAGAAACAATAATAGAAAAGAATATCAACGAAGGAGCTAGCCAGAAGTAGGTCGAAACTAGCATCATATATAAGTAGATTTTCGTGACTGCTAATACATTGAACTTGAAGCTTCATGGTTCTTCTTCTATTCACAAAATGGACACTTAAGATTATTTAACAAAACAAGTAGAACACGCATAACCAAAGTCTTTAGGAAGCTGCTACTACTACTATTTATAAACTTACTAAACTAAATTAATTAATTATCCCTTTTGAAAAGCCTAAGAAACACTGATAGTATATATACTCTTTTCTCTTGCTGCTTAAGGATGCCTTTGTTTCTTGTTTCCTTTTTCAACACATTACATCCTTCAGAAGCTTGTACCTTCGTGTGGAGGGTCTAGGTGAAGGAATAGGACTCTTCCCTTTCCCCAAGCTCGAACCACTCTCTTCATGCTGCTTGATCTTCTCACCGGAATATTGCGATCGAGTGGTCCCTCCGGTGTGAGTTCCGGCCACCGATTTCTTCGAATTCGACCCTACAGTAATACCATGGTGTCTTGTGTAATTTCTCCTCTCACTTTGACACCAATCGCATATTTCTATCTCAACCTGTTCCCGGTAGAAGTTGCTACAATACCTAAAAGATTGATCAAGTTACAAAAATTAACCTCATTCAGAAGAAGTGCATGTTGTTTGATGATTATGTACATGTGCATATATATATATATATATATATATATATATGATGGGATGTGTTGAGAATAGGAGAAAGAAGTGATGCAGTTACATGTAACTGTCAAATTAAAGGTATCTCTTTCCATCACATGAAAAAGAAAGATGATGCATGTGTATGTATGGTGTGTGAGATGATTGAAGAAACTGAGAGAGCACACATACGAGTGTTGGAATCGGTGACGACATTTGCTGCAGCGGAAAAGCTTGTCAGGGAAACCAACGTCACCACACATGCAGCAAACGGTTTGAAGGTCCACCATGGTTGGTGATAGATCACGGAGTGAGAGAAAGATGCAAAATTTGGAAGAGAGAGAAAGAGGGGTGTGATGATGATGATGATAAAAGTGAAGCAGAAGATAGAAAGAAAGAAAGAGTGTTTATATAGAGAAAGAAGAGGAGTGAGTTTGTTTGATGATGAAGTCGGTGAATCAATGTCATATATAATAATATTATTAATAATAAATAATAAAGATGTTTATCCTGAAATTATATAAAAATTGGAAAAATGAAATATACAGAAGGAGACCACAGGTTGCTTGCAGTCGTTTTCAGTTGAGGCAGGGAACCAAGAGAGAGAACCTTAAAAAANCGACAGTAATACCATGGTGTCTTGTGTAATTTCTCCTCTCACTTTGACACCAATCGCATATTTCTATCTCAACCTGTTCCCGGTAGAAGTTGCTACAATACCTAAAAGATTGATCAAGTTACAAAAATTAACCTCATTCAGAAGAAGTGCATGTTGTTTGATGATTATGTACATGTGCATATATATATATATATATATATATATATATGATGGGATGTGTTGAGAATAGGAGAAAGAAGTGATGCAGTTACATGTAACTGTCAAATTAAAGGTATCTCTTTCCATCACATGAAAAAGAAAGATGATGCATGTGTATGTATGGTGTGTGAGATGATTGAAGAAACTGAGAGAGCACACATACGAGTGTTGGAATCGGTGACGACATTTGCTGCAGCGGAAAAGCTTGTCAGGGAAACCAACGTCACCACACATGCAGCAAACGGTTTGAAGGTCCACCATGGTTGGTGATAGATCACGGAGTGAGAGAAAGATGCAAAATTTGGAAGAGAGAGAAAGAGGGGTGTGATGATGATGATGATAAAAGTGAAGCAGAAGATAGAAAGAAAGAAAGAGTGTTTATATAGAGAAAGAAGAGGAGTGAGTTTGTTTGATGATGAAGTCGGTGAATCAATGTCATATATAATAATATTATTAATAATAAATAATAAAGATGTTTATCCTGAAATTATATAAAAATTGGAAAAATGAAATATACAGAAGGAGACCACAGGTTGCTTGCAGTCGTTTTCAGTTGAGGCAGGGAACCAAGAGAGAGAACCTTAAAAAAGAAAGAGAGAGGAAAAGACATAGTGTTGTGTCCTGTGGCTGAGGTTGCTTGATTACTGTTTCTTACCTATATATGTACATATTCTTTTTTATTTCTTTTAATTTTTCCTTTGTGTGATGATTTTGTGTCCTTGGAAACAGTGTAGTGGTATTAAATGACAGATTAGTTTTCTTTTCTTTTCTTTTAATGTTGTTTAATGTTGTGAGAAGGTGTCGCTGTCAGAGTGTTTGTTTTTGTTTTTGAACAGTTTTTGTCCGGTGGGTGGGTTTTGGAATTTGGATATAAAATAGAGAGGTTGGGTATGAAAGGTGGTAGCCATGAGAGCCACGCTCTTGACACTGAGAAGCACGGATGAGGAATCAAAGATTCGTGAAGTCTATGGTGACAAAAGCTGTATGATAATAATAAGGCGAAACCCTCCAATCTATGCAATATTCTCAGTCGAGTGTTTTGTACAAAAGGACATGCCTTTAAGAGTTTTGTTTTGCTAAATAAGTTTCATTAATAAAATCGCTTTTCAATAGCCAAAGTGTACAAAAAAAAATAACAATGATTCATGCTTCCTAGTGTCACTGTTGTTGAGACGATAGGATTTGATGAGGAATGAGTCAAATTTGGATGTATTTGAAAGTTAAAATTTGTATTGTTTTTTTAGGTTTAATATTTATTTTGTTTTATCGTTTTGTAAGGTGTGTTTAATGTTGTTTTTTTTCTTCAAAAGTTCACTAACATTCTATATTTTGTAAAAACAATTTGTGTTATTTTCTTTTGCTTACGACGTTAAAAGGCTAACGACAGACTTGTACCAGTGACAAAAAACTTGATTACCTGTTCAGTTATTATTGATGTTGCACTATGAGATCATTTGAGGTGTTAATTTCATTTATGGTTAAAATGACGTGGAAAATCTAAAACATCTTTCAGGCCGCCGTGAGGACACTATTAACACCATCTTCTTCCTCGCGATTCAGACACAACAAAACGCAGAAAAATTTTCAATTTTTGAACTCCCAAATTGCATAACAGAGCAACCCAATCGCGTCGTGCCATGAACCCTAGCTCGTGAGCGTCGCCATCATGATCCCTAGCTCGCGAGCACCTCAAACAGGGGGCTAAACATCTCAAATAGGGGGCTAAACACCTTAGTGTCACGTCAACAATAATTGTACAAATCATCAAGTTTTTTACATGGGACAAGTCTGTCATTAGCTTTTTTAACGTCGTACTCAAAAAAGACTAACGTGAACTGTTTTTGCAAAATATAGAACGTTAGTGAACTTTTGAAAAAAAAGAGGACAACTTTGAACACACCCTATAAACCAAGGAACCAAAATAGATGTTAAACCTTTTTTTAACATATTTGAAAATAAAAATGAATAAATTTAAAAGTAAAGTTTGTAAAAAGTTGGAGTAATTTAAGATAGATAAAAAATATAATAAATTAAAATATAAATTTATTATTCTATTTTTATAATTAAAATTAATGTATTACTATAATAATAATAATTATTACTATTATTATTTATTATTTATTATTATTATTNTTGGAAGAGAGAGAAAGAGGGGTGTGATGATGATGATGATAAAAGTGAAGCAGAAGATAGAAAGAAAGAAAGAGTGTTTATATAGAGAAAGAAGAGGAGTGAGTTTGTTTGATGATGAAGTCGGTGAATCAATGTCATATATAATAATATTATTAATAATAAATAATAAAGATGTTTATCCTGAAATTATATAAAAATTGGAAAAATGAAATATACAGAAGGAGACCACAGGTTGCTTGCAGTCGTTTTCAGTTGAGGCAGGGAACCAAGAGAGAGAACCTTAAAAAAGAAAGAGAGAGGAAAAGACATAGTGTTGTGTCCTGTGGCTGAGGTTGCTTGATTACTGTTTCTTACCTATATATGTACATATTCTTTTTTATTTCTTTTAATTTTTCCTTTGTGTGATGATTTTGTGTCCTTGGAAACAGTGTAGTGGTATTAAATGACAGATTAGTTTTCTTTTCTTTTCTTTTAATGTTGTTTAATGTTGTGAGAAGGTGTCGCTGTCAGAGTGTTTGTTTTTGTTTTTGAACAGTTTTTGTCCGGTGGGTGGGTTTTGGAATTTGGATATAAAATAGAGAGGTTGGGTATGAAAGGTGGTAGCCATGAGAGCCACGCTCTTGACACTGAGAAGCACGGATGAGGAATCAAAGATTCGTGAAGTCTATGGTGACAAAAGCTGTATGATAATAATAAGGCGAAACCCTCCAATCTATGCAATATTCTCAGTCGAGTGTTTTGTACAAAAGGACATGCCTTTAAGAGTTTTGTTTTGCTAAATAAGTTTCATTAATAAAATCGCTTTTCAATAGCCAAAGTGTACAAAAAAAAATAACAATGATTCATGCTTCCTAGTGTCACTGTTGTTGAGACGATAGGATTTGATGAGGAATGAGTCAAATTTGGATGTATTTGAAAGTTAAAATTTGTATTGTTTTTTTAGGTTTAATATTTATTTTGTTTTATCGTTTTGTAAGGTGTGTTTAATGTTGTTTTTTTTCTTCAAAAGTTCACTAACATTCTATATTTTGTAAAAACAATTTGTGTTATTTTCTTTTGCTTACGACGTTAAAAGGCTAACGACAGACTTGTACCAGTGACAAAAAACTTGATTACCTGTTCAGTTATTATTGATGTTGCACTATGAGATCATTTGAGGTGTTAATTTCATTTATGGTTAAAATGACGTGGAAAATCTAAAACATCTTTCAGGCCGCCGTGAGGACACTATTAACACCATCTTCTTCCTCGCGATTCAGACACAACAAAACGCAGAAAAATTTTCAATTTTTGAACTCCCAAATTGCATAACAGAGCAACCCAATCGCGTCGTGCCATGAACCCTAGCTCGTGAGCGTCGCCATCATGATCCCTAGCTCGCGAGCACCTCAAACAGGGGGCTAAACATCTCAAATAGGGGGCTAAACACCTTAGTGTCACGTCAACAATAATTGTACAAATCATCAAGTTTTTTACATGGGACAAGTCTGTCATTAGCTTTTTTAACGTCGTACTCAAAAAAGACTAACGTGAACTGTTTTTGCAAAATATAGAACGTTAGTGAACTTTTGAAAAAAAAGAGGACAACTTTGAACACACCCTATAAACCAAGGAACCAAAATAGATGTTAAACCTTTTTTTAACATATTTGAAAATAAAAATGAATAAATTTAAAAGTAAAGTTTGTAAAAAGTTGGAGTAATTTAAGATAGATAAAAAATATAATAAATTAAAATATAAATTTATTATTCTATTTTTATAATTAAAATTAATGTATTACTATAATAATAATAATTATTACTATTATTATTTATTATTTATTATTATTATTGTTTATTATTTATTATTAATATATATTCAATATATAAGAAGTTGGATTAATACATGGACGTTAAGTGTAGAGAAGTATAGGTCATGATAAGTGGTGGAAAGAAAGCAAACCACTAATAGAATGAAAGGCTATAATATTAATTATTTTGGATATTGGATTTCGATTCTACAATCAAAACATGTTTAGACGAGATAAAAAAATGATTGATTTTAGTCTCGATTATGAACCAAAACATAAAGTTCAATATTTATGTTTCAATTTCTTAAGAACTGAAACATTAAATTATAAATAAATAATCAAAAATAAAAAATGTGAATTTGACTTTGGATATGCTTACTACCAAAACCAAATACATTTTATGATTTAAAAATATTATGTAATTTTAAGGATATTTGGTTTTGGTTCTCATTGAAACTAAAACCAAATATTCTTAAAATTAAATAATATTTTTAAATCAAAAAGAGTATTTGACTTTATTTCTCTTTATAACTGAAGTCAAATACCTTTTATGCTTTGGTTATGGTTATAACAAAAAAAGAATGTAGTTTTTTTCTTAAATATTGAACCGAAGTCGAATATCCC